CCATCCTGCAACAATTCCTACTCTACGTTTTCCCAAGAAAAGCCTTACTTTTCGTTGGTTGTGTGTCTTCATCTAGATGACCGTGAAGAGTAAGCTATGGGACAGAAACAAAGCAAGGTCATGAGAACTGCCCCTTATTCTGTCCCACACAGTAGCTAGAAACAAAAATGGAGGAATATAAGAAACAGGACACGTGTAGAACAGCCCTTCAGTGCATCTTGCTGTCAGAAAAACAGCAGACTGAGCCAGAAGTTACAGATCTCATGGATTTATCCTCCACTAGATCCAGTTCCTTTGGCCTCATTTATACTTTTGGCCTCCAGACAATGTGACAGTCACTTCCACACTGAAGTGATGAACTAAGTGAAAACTCTTTACTACAAATGTCCCTGGGGTAAGACTTTTTTTTGCCTGTTCTCCCACCAGAGAGACAATTAGAAGCAACTAAAAATAATTCAATTCCCCAAGGCTTAGACTCAACAAATCTTGCTGACTAACGCCGTAACTGCGTCCTACACTTCGAAACCTCAGGACACAGGGAGATTCTGTCACTGTTTGTTTTGCTGCCTGTGTATTTTTTGGTATCCCTGAAGTGAGCCTGATCTAGGGATTGAAAACTGCTGTTACTTGGGGAACTGAGCACCACGGAGGGATCTGAAACCATCCCAGAAGAAAGTAAAAGGGAAACAAGGCACCCTACTCACTTCCTGGGAATCTCTGGAGGAGGTATCGTCCAGGTCAGATGTCTGAAATAAAACCAGTGTAAATTAATCATTCCTCATAAGTAAGGAAGTGGCAGTAAGGGAATAGACAGGAGACTGAAAGCTCCAGAAAAAGAGAAGTGTGAACTTCCTCCCTCCTACACTCCTGCCTGACCACTTGGAGAAAGTATGCAAGATGTCACGCTAATTAAAAGCCCCTAATTAAGTTCCAGAAACTTTAGCACCCTTACAGCCTGCTCCCAATTTCATCTAAATGGCTCATACCCAGTCTCTAACTAGAGTTCACTCTTTGATGGTTGAGGATCCCCTCATCATCTTGGGACATGCTCCAAACACAAGCACAGGAGGCCTCAGCTTGCATCAGTATGGCTTATCCATGCCTGGAACCGGGCTGAGGTAACAGGAACCATCACGTCGTCCATTTTCCTAACCCCAGCATTTGCGTGGAACTGGTTACCCACGCAGCTGGCCGCTGCCTGCTGAATTCAAACTGGGTGCAGAGGCCTCGAACACTCTGGCCCCACACTCAAGCTTCCCAACCCGTCACCCAGATGACAACCCCGCAGACGTACCGGTGTGGGTAGCTCCAGTTGCAACCTTTTCAGCTTGGCTTCCACGGCCAGTAGCTGACTCTCCTTTTGGAAAAGCTGCAGTTGCATTTCGTCACATCGCTCCCCCAGTTCCCGGATCTGCTTGCGGTAAGCGTCCCTCTCAACCAGGTTCTTGGAGTACTGCGTGTAGAACTGTTCCCGGGTCAGGAGGGCCTGGCGTAAGGGACAACATGTCGTGGCGTGTCACCCAACAGCACCTTCAGGGTTATCTGCCCGCTTCAAGCAGCGAAGCAGGGATTAGCAGCAGCTCCAGGAGGAATGTTTTATCACCTGGTCTCTTTCTGAAGCCACTTCCTCCATTTGCTGCAGGACGGCTTCAATCCGTTTTTTATACATCTGGGAGTCGTTCCTCAGGGACGTGCACTGTAGTTCAAGCATCTCTTTTTCCTCTGCGTACTGTTGAGACAAGGTCAGAAGCACCCTGCTTGCGGGCAGAGCCTGAGCTAGACTCTCGCCACTTCTGCTCTCTGCCGCAGATGACTACGGCCAGAGCTCCGTACAACGTCAAAGTTCAGCCAGACCGTCCAGCTGGAGCAAGACCAACCAGAAGGTTGGTCAATATGACGAGGAGGACTGCTAGCATCATGGAGTTCCATGTACCTGAGCTGACAATCATGACAAAGGCTCCCACTACCTTCCAGGACGAGGCAGGGGCAATTCATTACTACAGGCATTAACAGGTAACAGTCAGTGCCACCGACCCAGAACGCTAACATATGAGCGTGCCTTTTTGCAACAAGCTCTAACACAGACACTATGGAGTAGGAGCAGTGAGGACTGCTGCTGAGCAGCTCCTCTGCTCCACAGGCAAGACATTGCGGGTGCTTCATCTGCTTATCTTACCCGCTGA